AATATGTTACGATAACAGTGAGTTTGAGGTTTTTTTTCTTTAGAGATAGATAGAATTTTTTATTCAAACTAGTAAATAGATCTAGTAGTGAATAGACATTTGAAATTGATTTTTAAGATACGATTTTGCATAGAATTTCAAACATAGTACTGATTGTTTTTAAATTTACATTGGATAGAAAAGATTAATTCTCTGAAATAACTAGACTTGTCTTTTCAAAGTCAGACTATTGATTCATTGTTACATTTTTTCTGGCCTCTGGACTCACTTTGTTGTTTTGGGCGGTTAACACATTTAGTTCGTTTTTATATAATTTTCTTTTAATGATATATTGTTTCTACATAAAATTTCTCGCTTTAAAATGCTGATTCTACTAAATACAATGTTAATAATCTTATCAATTACTTCATATTGAAGCTGAATATTTCCAGTGTATCCACTTATTAAATACTTTGAGTATTTTTAGTTCATAATTATTGAAAAAAAGCCACAATTAACTAATTTCAGTGTTAGAACTGTTTTGCAAAATTTCATAGGATCTAAAAACATGTCTAACAATAAAACGTACAAATGTATGGGACAAATTTTCGTTTCCTAGAGAAAGAGGTAAAATTCACCTGGTATAGGTAAAAGTTGATTAATTTTTGCGAAAGATAGGTACAGCAGTTTCGGCAATGTGAAGAAACAAGTGCGAAAAAAAATTAATATTAAAAAAATCAAATAATTTTTAATTACTGTTACATTATCATGATGCATAATTGAATGCATTCATATTAAATTGCAAACGTAGAAAGTAGCAACACATTTATGGCGCACCTATAAACAAAACAACCTACTCGTTGTTACAAAATTAATTAATATATGATATTATTTCCGAGCACTCATTTGGGAGTCGACAGCATTAAAACAGAATTATTTACGAATTGATATATGATACACCAACATTTTTGTTATCGAAAAGCACCTAAATTGAAATTTGCATAAATGATTGGGTTACCACCGCATGGAATTGGAAGAGTTTTTTTTCAAATCAAATTAGAAAAATCACACTTTGATGTATCAAGGTTATATAAAATTACAAATTAAGAAAATGATTGGCAATGATTTATGATTTTCCTTCAAGAATTTCTTTATTGGTCATCCCAATCTTCATATACCATGCAGCATTTCGTTTAAAATAATGCTCCATTACATTTTCGTTTACTATTATGCAGCGATGTGTTTTATATGAATCGCATTAGAAAACACGATATTTTCCGGAAAAACTGCCGGGTATACTAGCGTTGCAGCTGTAGGTAATTGGATAAAATTCCATGTTCTAGGAAAGAATAGAAATAAATTATAGCAAACTTCTACGCTGATATACCCGCACACTTCCGAGAGCAAATATTATAGGTAAAAATGGATTAGTAGATTTTTTTTAAAATGTATTAGAAGTAGGTACAGTGTTACAAAATTTTAACTTTTATTATAGCTATGCAGATATATCTAATATTTATCTACTCAGTATTGAATAGGTAGACAATTACCATCATACAATATATCGCATAATATTTTTGTGAACATTTTGTATATACATTGCCCATATTGCCCTATCGCGTCGTCCGTGTGCACAGCCTTGGCCATAAAACTCGTTCTAAAGATTTGAGATTCGTTTTAACGTATGCCGACGTTATAATTAAGACTCTCTCATACCTTGTATCTCACGATCACTAACTTCGAAACCGAAACACTCGCTGCATCGAAAGCCACGAAACTGCCCTGCGAATTCGCATTCTTTCTCGAGAGATGTTCATCAGGCTGTATACGAAGCTTTGGTAGATTAACTAAGAGTTAATGATTTAACTTTCCTAAATACTAGATATAAAAATAATTTTAGCAAGAAATATGGAAAGGATTTTCTATTATCTCCACATAAGAGAATTTTTTTTTATACTTGTCCTCTTGACTTAAAAAAAAAGTTTTGTCTGATTACTAAAATATCTTGATTTTTAATTTATCGATTATTCCTGCTCTCGACAATTCCATTGTTAAATGAATCATGCTTGAAATTATTTTTAAATCTTTTTGAAGAATAAATCAGTTTTAATACCACTACATTTCTCACGTACTACATGAGATTAACACTCACGAAAGCGATGAGTTTATGAGAATCGTCGTAAAATCAGGAATTTGCAAATGCACAGTTTATGCACGGCATACCTGCTGGCGAGAAAAAAAGAGCTTGCATCTTCTTTGTGAATGAGATTTTAATTTCCATGCAAAGATTTTAGTTTATTATAGCTCAATGTCAATTTATGAGCTCTGACTTAATACATACTACAGAAGCTGATGCCTGAACAAATTTTAAATTAAGATTCTTTAGCTATGAATATTTTAATTTGTCTTCTATTCTCACGAATAAATATAAAAGATATATTTAAATATCGACTCAATGTGGTTGAATTAAATGTAGTAATAAACATATGATTTATTATTGTAAATTTATTTATTTATACCAAATAAAAATAGCAGATTATATTTTTTTTATGAAATATTTTTTATCGATAATGACGTCTGTAAATAAACTTTTACTGATATTATAAGGAATATTTTCACCAATTTGTGTAAACTTATTATATTATACTATATTATAGCAAACTTATTTTAAAATTATTATAGATATGCTTCATTAACTTTAATTTGGAATACGATTTCAAGTGTTGATGATACAACATTGTAATTATAATGTGATAACTTTTATAAGTTTTTCCATATGTTAAAATAATTAAAAACATGTTTTACTTATATTTTTTATATTACTGTTATTCTGTGTCATTTACACATTTGATTATAGAGCATCGCGAACTTAATCATATATTTAATACTGCCATTAGGGCGTCCAATACCGTACAAAAATCTGAATACCGGTATTCGATATTTGAAAAATGAAATTCCGGGATCCCGGTTTTAATACCGGTATTGTCGATGGAAAATTAAATAGTTATATTTTTACTTACTTCAGTTGTTATATTGACATATTAACAAATAATATATGAAATCTAACAAATATTGTGCTGAAATGAGTACATATTATTTATTTATTACATAAGGAGTAGAAGTAGATAGAAACAAAAAAACGTGTCAGTAAAAAATATATATTTTTCTATGTTACATTTTACATTCTACATTTATAATAAGAATTAATTATTTATTAATATATTTAAGAAAAGAATAAATTATAATTCATGGCTAATGTTTTGCTTAATAAAATATGCTCTTAAAGAAGAAACATAAACAATCAATTGTTTGATCATCAAGCTCTTTCCGTCTTTCCGATTCTACACTTGTTGGTACAATTGTAATTAAGAAATTATACATATTTTGTAGGTTCGTTCTTTTTATTCCTGTTTTTTCAAAGAAAGTAATTTCATCTTTTATTTTTTGTTCTAGACTTGGAGTTTTTTTTAACACACACACGGGTGAAGTATTTATTTTAATATTTTTTAATTACACACCAACTTAATTAACTTTGGTTTATATACTCACTTATAAATATCATAGGTTCAAATTAAACACAATATTTACACAATATTAAACACACTATTCTTCATATAAACATTTATTTTCCCGCAACTTTAAGATGTTATCTACACGAAATTTACACAACTGCCTACTTAAAGTTACATTTCGGCTTTATATAACATTTTATTTAGTTTAAGGGAATTCCCTTGATTTTGAATATGATCAATAGAGTTTTTTTATATGTGTGAGTGCAAGTCAAGTTATTACCCGTTCGGATTTCTCGGGAATTACTGCGATGTGTGCAATTCATCGATAAAAGATTATTACAATGTTGACTATTCTTATGTTGAATGCAATAGAATTGAGAATATGATTCATTACGTGGTGTGTTTCTACTATATTAGTTATTAATATTAACTAATTATAACAATACCCTTCGCAAATTCTCAAATTGTTGTCAGTGACACGCAATTTAAACAACTGCCGTTCTTACTTATGTAAAATGATTTATGTATAATAAATAAAGAATTATATCTCATCGATTGTATTATATTATCTCACTCAGCTGAGTCAAGCACACAATACATAGTTTGGAAACTAAAACTTGATATGTATTTTGCGTAAGTTGAATTTTTGATAGAATACTGGTATTATTTGCATCAATACCGGTATTGAATACCGGACAAAAATCGTCCGGGATCCCGGTTTTCGGGATTACGGAATCCCGGTATTGTAAGCCCTAACTGCCATATAGAAATATTATATGATCCTATCATAAGATAAACATATTATAAGTTGATATATAATTTCCATAAACAAACAATATGCCTAATTTTTTACCATCTTTTTCTTTCGCAGAGCACGTATTAACAGTCATTGGGCAATCAGAAAACCGCACTTTAGCGCTTCTCGACACGGTATACCGCCGGCCACCGCGGTTAGGCCACCCGCCTGTCTCGGCGCTCTACGATTCTATTCGCAAGCACGTCATTTCCTTCAATGAAGCCGATGCGAAAGAAACAAGCGATGTTACCACACTTCCAGCGTCAATTCCGAATGCTCTCGACAAGGCGGTGCGGCAGTTCTTCGAACGACTCTTCCCGCTGGCATATCATCATATCGCACATTTTGGACTGACTGATTTCACGGAAGAGTACAAACAGTGCTTAATGCGTAATTATGATGAGGTAATATTAATCATTTTATTTTTATTTTTCAAGGGTTCTCACACAAAGGGGGTTTGAAAAAATCTCAGTAGTTTTTAACCGAGATAAAATACATTACTCAATATTTTTTCAAAAATATATTTAAAGGCAATAAACATAAAAAGATTAAGAATTGGTTTCCAAATTACTTGTAATAATTTTGTAAGCTAAATAGCACATCTTCAATTTTTAATTAAGAGATATATTTAGAATATGCGAATATGTTTAGAATATTAAAGGAACGATGAAAATTCAAAAGTGATGATAAAATGTAAATCAATACATTTATAAATAACTATATATATATAAATTGACTAGCAAACCCGACGAACTCCGTTTCGCCACCAGATGGTTTCGTGAGAAATATGAAGAAATTTTTTGTTTGTTTTATATTTGAAAAGGAAAAAATTAATTTTATTGCACAACAGTAATGAATTTATTTCGATTACAAAAATGAAGTATTTTTTAGTTGAATTTCTCTAAGTAAATGAAAGTGAATCCGCAAATTATCCGTTTCATTGAAGTGCTCTTTGGTAAACCACATTTTTTGTTTTTTGCTCTGACGTTAACACAAACAAAGCGGATGGTTTTCCACACCTCGTGAACAGACAACGTATAACTGCCCATGTGAGAAACAATGATTTTCTAAATAATCTATTTGAAATTTATCCCGCAAACACTAAGCGATTGGCCTTGCGACTTGTTAGTTGTCATTGCGAACGCAAGGCGAACTGGAAATTGCAATCGTTTGAAGTCAAACGGAAGACCAGTCGGAATCATTGGTATGTCACCAAATCGCCAGCAATTTTTGATTGAATGGTGAAATTCAGTGCGTGTACATCATATTTCTTGGCGGCAATAATTGCTCGTAGACTTAACCAAGCATAATTCTGAAAATTCTCGCTGTCATTACTCGAATTTTCAATTATGGTGCGTGAAGTTTCAGCAATTTGCATTAAGGCACGATGCCATGCACCACTAATTTTCTTAGCTATAAACCTTGCAGAGCCCGAGACCTTTCTAAAGAATGCAAAATTGTCGAAATCGGTTCGTGCGTTCTGGAGTTATTTCGTCAGGAAGGAAAACCCGACTTATTTTTATATATATAGAAGATATAATTTATTACAATTGAATCATATTTCTATTTAAATAATTATTTACATAGAATAGATTAAGTCTTAATTATATTCTCATTGACAGTCAATAACATAACATAAACTTATCTAATATATACAACGTAACTACTGGGAAAGACTTGCAAAGTTAATATAATATAAACTAAATTTAACAATCAATTTGAAAATATTCACCTTAGTGTTTAAGACAAATATAATTTCGAATAATTTGAATATTCGTTTCATTTCCGCATAGATTCAACCATTCAGCGATGCGTCCAAACGTCTATCTTCATCATTGCGACGATCTTTGCAAGCCACCCGGCTCCTGCTGCATGCCTTAGTTGAAGGCAGAAATATTCTACATGATGTCGATGAGACTCTGTCAGTAGAACAAGATAAAGAATGCCTGAAGGCGATGACAAAAATGACTCATTGCTCTAAATGCAATGTAAGTATTTGATATTTGATGTAGTAACAATTACTTTTAGACTTTGTGTGGATTTTTTTTTTAAATTTTGTTGTACTTAAATTAGATCTATTATATAAATGTATATATATATATATGTGTGTGTGTATTAATTAGAAACTTAACTTTATTAACCCTTTCGCAATAATACATGGTTACTTTGTTTTAGGGTTTGAAAGCAGCCCGCCCTTGTGCCGGTTTTTGCTTGAACGTTTTACGTGGTTGTTTAGCCGCGAGGGTTGATGGTCTGGATGCACCATGGAATTCTTACTTAGAAGCTTTACAATCTTTAGCATCAGCAGCAAGGGCAAGAGAACCTGAAGAATTGCATGTGGAACGGGTATTAGGTGACTTGGATAACAAAGTATCTCAAGCTATTATGGGAGCCATGGAAGCAGGTCCTGAGCTTAAAACGAGGGTGAGTGAAAATTCATTTGATTAAACAATATTAAGTTATGTAATTTCGATTATAATTTTATAAAAACTTATATTATATAACAGATTATAAAACTTTAACCTCGCTAGACTTAGCAAGCAAATATAAATGTATAATTTATCATTTTAATCTTAATCAAGTATCAATTAGTTAAATCAATAATATAACTTTCCTCTGGACACAGTTTATTTTTTAATTTCGAATAAAATCAAACATTCTAACAAATAATTTTTTAAAATGTGAGCTGTAAAAAGAATTGAAATATTTCGGGTATACTAAAATATAATATCAATCATCTCCACTATCATTGTGATGTTCTAAGGATTTTTTTCTATTATCTTAAACTTTGTTCTTTCTTGTGGGCCGCATATTTATTTTTTTAGTTTGCGCAACTTGTAAGGTTTAAATAAAATAAAAAACGTTAATTACAACGACAAAAATATTTGGCATATAGTACTGTGTTGGATTTTACAACACGAGCAAAACATTGAAGCTTCTACTCTGTTATTACACAATCGGCGTTAAGCCGGCGCTTCTGACATATAAGCACACATGAAACAATTTTCTTCTGGAAAAGATTGTGTTAGTATATTTTCGCTAAAACCAATTTCAGTCATTGTGTAGTAGCAACAAAGGTAAACGACTTTACGTCTTTGGATATTTTATAATTATAGTCAGGAATGAACTTATTTCCTAGAAACAAATATACGTCCAAATTTTAATTCAATTTTATCAGCTTCAAACATATTTTCAATAAAATACTTATATGTAAACTGTAATTTTAAATTGTGATCTATCATAGTTTTTTGAATATTTACTTGCTTTATATACTTATAAAGCAGCTTACTTATGAATTTTATTTTGAGTGTTTTCATTTGCGGTTTCTTCTGTATTTCCTCTGATGGAGCGTTTTCTTTCATTTATCGATTATAGAAAGATAGCGATTATTATGTTCAGTACATGGATTTTACTGTCCTCAAAAACAAATATGCTCAAGTAGTATGGGTCTGATGGTGAATGCATCATTGCTTTCCATTGCCTTCATCCGATGATAGTAGAATTGCAGTTTTTTCTCCATCGTCTGCGTCGTTTTGGCGAACCCGGCGAACGCATTGGATATTTTAGACGAACACGCCGCACTTTCTATATTTAAAACATCCGCGAATATGCGATCGTTGTGCTTTTTCACGTTGCTTGGCAACGATTCAAAGTTTCAAACGGCCAGCGATCGCGTGGCCCATCGCTTGTCCGATGTTCCGACATATAGACTGATAGATTTCCTGGCCGTTAATTCTGTCTAATGTACTATTTTTTGCTACAGAAAAGCCATTAGGTAAACTAGATATTTAGTACTAGTACTAACTTAGTTCTAAATTTGTTGACGAATACAAAAAAAATCGTACATCTGCAAATGAGTTGACTCAATTGAAATTATGATTATATTTCTGAATGAATGAATGAATATAATACGAATTAAATTGTATTCGCAATTCTTATGTTGATTTTAAGAAGTCTGTTGGTTTATGAATATAAGGACTTATCGCAAAATCGCCCTAGATATATGCAATAAATATCGTAACAATTTATTGCTTAGTATATTTTGATATTCAATACACTTTGAACTTTTGCAAGAATGCTAACGACCCAAAAACCGATAAATTATCATTCTTTGGCAAAGTTCCAACATGTTTTTATTTTTCTGCATGTTATACCGCATTATTGCTGATACTTTTTTTCTCCAGTTTTATCTTGAGATTGAGAATATAATTTTCTATTGCTACTTAGTTTTATATACTGCAAATAATCTTATTATTGCAGATAGAATTATAAGAGAAGGGTCGAAATTCTCTTGAGCATTAGCTTCTATTTATTGGTAATATATATTTTGCGGTTGGCTGTAATAAAATAAATATACATACATATAATGTTGAGGTTAGTTTTCTTTATGAAATGTTAAATAAATATTTATGCATTAAAAAAATACCATTTTTATATGGTTAATTATATTAAATAATACTAGTTTCATTCTTTGTATATATGTATATATATATATATATATATATATTATATATACATATATATACTATATATATATATATATATATATATATATATATATATATATATATATGAGTAAGTTCTTGTGGGGCGATACATCAAAGAATAAAAAGCAAAGATTTATAAATTAATTTTTAATTCCAAACGTTTCGACATTCAATTTAATGTCATCATCAGTGAATATTAACGTTGGTAGGTTACATCTAGAGAAGTGTACACGACACTTGAAATTAGCACTAACATTTATACAACTAACTTGTCAACATCATGATTCTTTTATAATTTTTTGTATGATGTAAACAGGAAAATGATAGTTTTATTTGAACAAAAATGTGAATAAAGTTAAGTAATTTCTGTCAACGACTTCTGTACTGTGCGTGTTCCGAGGCTTATTTTGACAATTGACAATTCCAACACTGATGATGACATTAAATTGAATGTCGAAACGTTTGGAATTAAAGATTAATTTATAAATCTTTGCTTTTTATTCTTTGATGTATCGCCCCACAAGAACTTACTCATATATCTCAACATCAAAATTAACAACTAAATATATATATATATATATATATATATATATATATATGTATATTTATTTACATTTATATTTATATTGATCAAGAAAATTATATAAATTTTAAATCGGTCTCATCGAAAGAGAAAATTTTCTCCCTATTTATATTCTAATTCATAAACTTGGTATTATTTACTGAACTTAAACTTACGACACTAATTTGACTTGTATTAGAACCTCACAACCAAATACATTGCTTGTGGTATTCAATTAAATTCTTCTCCCAGACGCATCGGTATTTTTCATTGGCATCTGTGTTAACACAGAAGAAGGTACATATAATCATCTCTTGAGGTCGTCAGCTGAGCGCCGTCTCTTTTTACTCGTTTTTCAGCATCTACTACTTCGAGTCTGAGGAATTCAAAATCTCATGATTCATTCAGACCGAAAGAACAACTCTTCTTGAAACGTCAGACATGGTGCCTTCTACATATATTCCCATCCTTCGCACTCCGAGTGCGATACAACAGACTCACATATGAGACTATATGTTACAGCGTTGCCCAACTGCGGGATGATTCAAGATTATTTTGTGAACGGTGGAGACTTTCGCTCATAATAATGATAACTTTCGATCATTAATTGTATATTCTTTTATCACATTCAAGATCAAAATCTTATCATATAATTTTAAATGCTATAATTGTAACACTCACAATATAGAGCGATATACCTCAATTAAACTCAATTAAACATTTACTTAGTGATTTATGGGATTTTTTATTAATAAAGTTCAAAGAAATAAAAAACAAGTACTAGCTAAATTAGGTTTTCCGCTTCTGATAAAGTTACCAACTTCTCTACATTTGCTCCACAACCGCGCACATATATACAGGTACAAACATTTAGACTCGCAGTTACCCTTCCTTCTTGTCGCAGGTGATGTTGTTATTAGTTGATTAAATACCTGTTATGCGTTTTAATCTGTACACGGACTATTTAGTCAAGTGGACAAATTACTGTTTCATTCAGTACTTCCAATTGCTTTTAAATAAAATCAATGTTTCTTCGGAGAAAACCATTTTATTTTATTTTATAAGCCTCTCAGAATTAAATCAATAGTTTTAACTAGCATTAAATTTTTTATTTTATTTAATTTTATATAAAATATGATAATAATTGTTATTGTCATCTATATATTTATATACAATTTAAAATTTAAAAGTTTAAATATTAGTTTTTTATTTGAGATAATTTTAATCAAGTATCATTTATTGTATATTTGCTTTACGTACTTTAAATTTTGGATTCAAAATAATACTTCTGTATGTTCTATATATGGTTGCTCTCGTAATACTTCTATTGTTTGCGCAGGACCAAACAACTTGATTTATTACTTCACATTCTGCAGCCATTTAATTTTACTGTATGGGTAGCTTGCTATTGTTTATTTGGATATTAACGTTATGAATAACTCCATAAAATTTAGCTTTTTAGTATAATACATCTAGTGTTTTATAATAAAATTTCATTATTTTAATTTGTCTCTCCATTCAATTCGTCTTTGTATCGCTGTTCGTAAAACGTAAAACAAACGAATTTCTCGCTCAGCGAGATGCAAGTCGCTGTTTGAAAAGTTTGATTGTATTTTGATATACATATAAACACGAACTGTATCTGTGGAAGCTGTATTGGTTCACTGTGTACACCTGAAATTCCATTCTCACACAATATGAATCTACGAATGAACGAGGAGCTACAGAGGAGTGAATTCCTATTGTGCAGGTTTAGCAAACGCCGCCCCAGCGTTTCATTGCATTCTACGAAGCCGAAACGTTGATATAGACAGAGTGCGTGTCAATACCTTACTAGACAAATCGAATTCTAAATATATTTGATTATATTCAAAAATAATAAAATCCTTACAATTTATAATTTAGTATTGCACATAATAACTACCAATTTATATTCCATCAAAATTAATAAATTGTTGAAATTTTTTTTCCTTGCTTCTTGACTACAATTATCGATCGCGTTTGAATAAGATATGACGCAGTTCATGTCGAGGTTGTAGTTTGTGATTAATTCGCTCGATAATCAATTACGTTTTCGCATATGGCCCATATTCATGTATGAATATGCTCGCACTAGACGTTTGCTTCGCGTTAATTATTTTAACCCTTCACGTACAACACGTATGCTTCAGACCGAACTTTGGAGAGAATGTGCTATTCCAATTCAACCTGGCGCAATTCGCTAATACACTTTCAAAATTCGTACACACTCTTAACTTTTAAAACAATTATTTTGTAGTAAATATTAAAATTTTACTATTGTCATTTACCCAATTTTGAATAAAGTTTTAATTCTTTAATGTATTAAATACGACCTGTTTTTACCACTATTTCAC